CTGCATTTCTTCAAGTTTTGTTGGAAAATTTAACTCTTCTATCTTGCTCACGCCCTGGATTCTTTTTTTTTTAAACAATATTTAAAATAACTCACATTGTATTAGTATTGGCTTTATGTACAGCATGTGCCCATGCTACTGTAGCTTTGCTGCACTCTCTCTGCAGGAGGCTTTTAGCAACGGATCCACTGGGGAGTCAGAGCTCAGATCACATTGAGATAAACTGATAATTAGTTATTTATACATCATCTCTGCAAATCAGGCCACAGTGCCGAAACTAACACAAACATAAAGGCAAATGGCAGCACTGACTTTCTTTAATTTAAAATGTGATACCACCCTCAGATTTGGCAGTTGTCAGAAAGGGCAATGGGGAGCTTGTTAGCACAGAGCGCAACAGGGGTGGTGAGTCCCACGTCTATAACATAATTTGTGCCAGAGGAACGCAATACATCCAAATTTCCCAGGGACTAGGAAGGTAATACAAATTGGCTCAGCTAGCTGATGGAGGGTGGCCTACCAGCATCACGTATGCTGCTGCTCATACTTGGGGCTTTTAACCTGGCTCTCATGTCCCATGTTCTTCAAATGTGTTGTTACATTTTCACACTCTCTTTTTTTTTTGCTGTTTTGTAAAGTCCTCTGGAAACTAACTTTAGTAATGAAGTTTGGTATTTAAACGCGTTACATAAATACAGCCGACTTAAAGATCATTGAGGTTGAAACCCATATTGACTGGAAAGGAGTCAGTGAATGTTGAAGGAAAGCTCATTAGAAGCTGTCCTGGGTGGGAGCTGGGAAAGAACCCAGTCTTGACTGGGTAGCAGGCAGCGCGATCACCCCTATTGGGTAGTCGGCTGCCCCACTTACAAAACTGGCTGCAGCAGGTCTCAGGGGAACAATACAGGGAAAAAAAGAAAAATAAATCTGTGACGGTAATTTCTATCAAACTTTAAAATTCTCTACCTATTAGTGCTGCTGAAAATGCCTTTAGTCTCATAGTTTAAACAAATGTATTATTCCCTGCATTTAAAAGCCCTGCAAATCTGTGCTATTATTGACATCAAAACCAGACGTTTTGAAAGACACAGTTCAGGCATTCCAATTACAAGCTATTAAGGCTGTAAGAAAATATCAATATATGAATATCGCTAGGTTTTGTACAAGTTCTAAAAAACACTATAGCAGTTTTTGTGTTTAATAAAAATGTCAAATATTTATTTTGAGTATTGTGGTGTGTTCTTTACACTATTTTACTAGTTTTCCTAAAATTATTAATATTATTATTAGTTTTTAATCGCAATACTTGCTTACAGTATGTCAATATATAGAACGGTAACCCCTGTATTGTGGTATGTATTGTATTGCCAGATTCTTATCAATACACAATACACAGCCCTACAGCTTACTCAACAACTGCAGTTGTTATCCATTATCCATCAGTGGTTAAGGGGTGGAAGAAAACTGTAAAAGTACACAGTTGCCCTATATCTCAGCATTACGTTCTTTTCTGTGAAGAAAACCAAGTGAAACTGTAATTTAAAAACAGTGAAGACTACATTCACAGAGCTTTCACTGTCTGACGAACAGCCTTGTCCTGCATTAGAAACGTTGAAACAACAAAAGAGCAGACAGCAACAGAACCATGGCTGAGCATCAGAGAGAATAAAACACTAAGGGGATTGCATAAAAAGTTCCTAAAATATCAGGAAAAGTCATCTCTGATCAATATTCACAGGAAATAATCTGCTCAAAATTCATCCAAATCTCTGGTTTTACACAAACTTCCTTCAGTTGTTCTGTACTGTCATGCCCTGAATATAATATGAAATATCCATAAAATATGTCACTTAGTCAGGGGTCATCTGTTTACTTGATAGAAAAGAGGTCCCCTAAGGAACAATGTAGAGGAAAACATGGTCTACATCCCATTCATTTTTAAACAATAAAAGATCCTGACTTTATCAATCAAAATGGAATTTATTTTGAAGCCACTAACAACTGGACAGTTACAAATCCAGCATCCATCCTCAGAACAGTATGCGCTTTAGATTCAAATGGGTTTTCAACCCATGTGACTGTACAAGTGGGCACTCACCAACGAGATGAAAGCAAAGTACGCGGCCTCAGAATGTGTGAATCAATTTCAGACTGAAAAAGCCATTGCTGCTCAGCCTGCAGGATTAATGTACATCATGGCAAGTTCAGACTTGCCAGTACCATTGACCTGTGCAGGGCTGAACAGTGGAGTAATAATGGCATTGCATGGCAATTTTGAGAGGGATAGGAGCAAAATTGCAATGTGTTTTCCATCTAATATACATGCTCTGTTTTGCAGGCTGGCTAACACATAGGAATATGCAACAGATAGAAAAAGGAATGAGCTTTAAGAGTGTAACATAGCAGAAACATGGGATTGTTACTGACATGCTTTCTGACTACACAGCTTAAACATATATTCATCCAAATACAGCTTCTTTCTGCCACCCTTAACCTTACCGCCTGCTTTGCAGGGTAGTTAAAGCTGCTTCAAAGAACAGTTTCTCAGAGCAGGTCTGTAAAGGGTCAAGTTTTCTTTCGTTTATCTCACTCCTGCGTGTCCCAGTGTCTCCTTAATGTTTAAACTGAAAACCAATGCAGTACATTGCATTCATAAAAGATTTATAAACTGAATCCTGTCAATCTGACACCAGTAATTATTATATCCATTGTTAGCATGGTGATGGACAGGGATCCAGAACCCAGATCAGCACATTACGGACCCCTGTCTGATTCACTTTGTCTTGCTGTCTCACTCACTCACTCCTCACCTTACTTGTGACCTGCTGGGACCCAAAGGACCCCTGGGGATACCTGGAAACCAGCTTATGTTATCAGTGCATACCAGTGCAAGGTAGCCAAAGAACTTCAAATGTCAAGGTTTTAGATACGACGTGTTGCTTTATCAAATAATGTCAGATAAGGTCTCATAACAGATTATTATTTGATCTTTGCAGCACAGCGAAAGTGTAGTGCAAGAGATTGTTAAACCGTTAGGCAAAGCTTACTGATATTAAGATTAAGTAGATATATATACTGATAGATACATGTCCTGTTGTTATACCACCTATACATGAAAACATCATCCATGTCAACTAGGGATGGGAAACGAGAACGATACTAAACCCGTACCAGTTCCCGATTGGTCACTACAGAAATATTGATCAGCTCCTGGACAAACTGTTATTAGTATTTATTTAACATTACATAAACAGCTGACAGGGCAATAAACATCAAACATCAGCGTGGCCTCATTTTGAATATTTTAATGAAAATACAGCTAAATGCAATAAACTGTTGAATCTTTTTATGTCATATCTTTATTTTGTTCTCCAGATGATGGCAAGTAGTATCAATAAGAGAGTCGATAAGTATTGGTATTGATAAGCAGTATCAGTATTGATAAAATTATAACAATAACCATACCCAATGTCAGCCTTTAAGATGTAAAGGTTGTTCAGGAAATCAGATTTGATCAGATTTGATATCAGGAATTTGGTTCACTAGCACTGAAAGTGGAGGTGTAGTATTCATTTTAGGTAGTTAGGTATTAATTTAGTTAGGTATTAATTCACAAAGAATGCAGCATTTTGAATGATGGTATTTCATGATATGGTAAGATACAGGTGTCTGAAAAGCTGGTAGGGGTGGGTGCATCAATCCCTGAAGTATTAATACTACAAAGTATCAATACTAGCATCAACAGGATCAAAATACACAGACTGTATGCTTATTCCGGTGACAGTTCTTTGACAGTTTTCCTAAAAGTAGAAAAAATCACAATATATCGACTAATGGTAAACCCTTTATCGTATCATACTGCTAGGTTCTTGCCCTAGTGATTAACAGAGAATATTAAAAAGAAATATGTCATGTTTGGCAAATTATTTGGTGGTAATATATTTAGAAGTAAAATAGTAATTAATTATCCCTTACATGATACATGTAAGGGATACATTAGCTGATTTTAACAATAAAAAGCTCTGATAGCGGTACTGATATCAGTGATCCTGGCCCTGGTATTACTTGGTACCAGATTTGTGCCACCCCATCACCATTCCTTCCTGAGGTGGCAGCCTAGGCTGACCATAGCCTACGCACTGTTGTGGCATTTCTGCAGTTGACCGGAACAGCTTTTACTCTGACCTCAAGTGAAAACACTGAAAATGACTGTCAGCAAAAAACAGCCAAGGAGAAAATGTCAATCACCGTGTCTAGACAGCCTCAAAAAAGACTTCTTTCAAACTTATACCCACAGTCACATCCGTACAATGCCAAAGCAACACTAACCATCAACGGTTAACACAGCTCCCATCATGCCCTGCACACACATCACACCTTGCCTACTCCGGGGTCACCAGACAAAATCCCTTCCTTTGGCCACTGCGATTATTGCTATGTTACACTGGACATTCCCGACAGCACTTGAAAGCAACATAAATCCTTCTGTGTCAGTTAAGCCTCTGAGGGCGCAGAGGAGGGGAAAGGTCACCGCAGACAATCTCCCATCTTGAGGAAATGCCAGTCAATCCATCCCTACCGCCCGCACTGTTTACTGTGTGTGTGCGTTTTCTGTCTATTTACACCTGCGAGCATCTGCCCGACCCTGTTCCTGCTCCCTCTCTCCTCCCTGAAACACTCCTTTTCTCCCCTCCACCTTTAGTTCTGCACCGTCACACAACAATTAAAACCGCAGAGTCTGCTTGTTAACAGCTGCTGGAGATTAGCAGAGTATCGCTTCTGGATTGAGTGTTTCCCAGAGACTAATCCTCTGAAATCCCCCCTTTTTTCTCCAACATGATAAAACAGACAACACTTCAGTCATGTTTCTGTTTCTCTGCTCGCTAAATACTTCAATTAGGAGGAGCAGCGCTCAACTTTGGGAATAGAACCGAGAGCACAGCGGCGGCGCCTGGAGGAGGAGGAGGAGGAGGAGGAGGGAAGAAAATGTGTTGACTCACCTGAGGAAGACTGTCTCTCCCTGTCGGACGGTGATGTTGTCCATCACTTTGTTGTCGGACTGAGAGTCCCCTTGGCTGCGGACCGGCAACCCTGCAGGCACAAGAAGCAAAATCCTCAGAGAGAGAAGAAGTGTGCATTTGGAAAAAGCGACAAAGTATCCCCGGACGGACATCGTCTTCAGCCTCAAGAAGTGTAGAAAATAAAAAAAATCCCACAGCCAGACAGAGAGTCGGTTTGCGTCCCCGTGTAACGGTCCCTTGGAGATTATTTACCCCCAGTTCATTAGTCTTAATCCAGATCTTCTCGCCAGGTACAGCCGCGGTGCGCAGGGGGAGGAGGAGACACTCGACCCTATCTGGCTGCACTGTCAAACATCCACTGTTATTGTTTGGGGAGAGGGGGGGGACAAGAAAAAAATAATTCCTTCTCACAGCGGAGGCTGCTCCTGTCCCTATTTCTCCACAAGTTTCTTTCACATAGAAGTTTTAAAAAATCCTTCCAATTAGGCTTTTAAAGAGTTAGTGTGCAGCCTGAATGTGTCTAAATACTGCAGGCGAACGATACAAAGACGCGAGAGTCATGTTCAAAAGAAAAGAGAGCGATGGCAAGTTGGCGATTCGCACCGCCTGTCAGAGAGTAGTTTGTGTGTCGGGCTCTATATCAGCACCCTCCTTCCGCCTGCACACGTCACAGACGGACAGAGCGAAATGGATTCACGTTTGCATCCAATATGTAGGGAGAGACTAACACTCATGGTAGGGAGTCTTTACAGTGCGTTTGCCTCTGGTGCCTCAACAGTGACTTTATTGTTCCTAATAGCAATTTGCATCTCTAAATTATACTAATTATATTCCATATTATACAATCCCCAATATGTTATTATACAATATTCATCATAGAAATGTCAGTGAAACAATGCAAAACCCTCCAGAAAGTGGGCTAGAAGCATCTGTAATAGGGCTGCAACTAACTCTATGTTATTTATTTATTCATTCTGAGGTCATTTGTTGTTGTGGATAGCAGGGTGATTTATGGATAAATATATATACTGTTTGATAGCAAACAATCGCATACATCGATATAATAAAGATATTTGAATTTGTGGCACATTATCAAATCATTGAACAGAAATATCTAAAAGGTGGTATTTGAAATCACTACATTGTTTTATTTAGAAATCTTCAGACAGTCTTTTGTCATTGAGCTTAACTTTTATAAAAATAAAAATATTTGCTGAAACTATGGCTCCTCCTAGTTGTTCACTGTGGGAAAATAAACAAAAATAACACTTTGGGTTGGTGGCTTCAATCTATGTTGAAGCCACCAACCCAAAGTGTCTTTCTCTGCTCTGATTGGTTGTTTTCATTCAGGCCGGGTGGATTCTTGCAAATCCCATTAGGAGCACTAGGAGGAGCCAGAGGAACCACATCTTTTCAGATGATCTGTCTCATGTACTACTGTCAGGATATATTGAAGGTTTCAGCAAATGTAACAAAAAGTTATGTTTCTAAAAGTTACCTACTGCAGCTTTAATCATTTTTTAAATTAATTAAAATTAATGACAGCATCTGACACCAAGTGGGATGGCAGCTGGGCTGGCCAGGCAATTTGTCTAGATCCATCCCTGGTTTCACAAGATATTATAAATTACAAAAATATTAATAATAATTTCCAAAAGCCAACGCTGACATATTCAAATTGCTTGTTTTCTCCAAGCAACAGTTCCAAACCACAAAAGATTTTGTCTTATAGCCTATCATCCACTGTGAAAACCAGCAAAAATTCCAGAACCAGAGAATTTCTGGCATTTTTTCTTAAAACATGACTTAACAGATAAATAAATTATAGAAATAGTTGTTGATTAATTTTCCTTTGCTTGTGCTGGCTAGTAATCCCACATCACTGTAAGGGTCTTCATAAATCCACATTCAAATTCACAGAAGTCCACACACCACCCAGATTATGCTACCTATGTACCAGCATGCTGACCGCTGTGGTACATGTCCACGTACGTCAATATAACAGCTTGGGCAAGAATGTCCGACTTAACTGATTCTGTTTTCTGACTCTTCTCTACTTGTGCTACTGTTTCACTACATTGGATTAGACCTTAGGGTAAACACAGGTGTTAGCAATGATGCTAATTACTGTTCCGTTCCATTCAGGTTAATGAGAGTCAGGGTGCTGCTATTGTGCACTGGAAAGGCTCTGTTACACTAAATGGAACAGAACCTTAATCAGCATCATTGCCATCCTGTGTTTATCCTACTATTTCATGTTAAAATGGCTGCTGTCAAAAAGATCTACTGTTTCTCACGGAAAAAGGACACTAGTTGAATTTTTGTGAAATAAAGCTGAGTGCGATAGCATCTGCAAACTCAGGGTTTTTTTATTTCCCTTACATAAATCATGTTATTCTACTTATTTTGATTGGGGTTAGAAGATTACCCTCCTTTTATACTTTTATAGATGCTGATTTTAAAATTCTAAAATTCTAAAATCTAAATAATCATCAATAATAAAGTTAGTATATACTAACTTTATTATTGATGATTATTTAGACATTTCAAATTTCACCCAATTGTTTAGCAGCAGGTTTTTTTGAGTTGATTTTTCTTTTCTCTTATATGTTACATAATTAGAATATATATATTACAAAATATCCATTTCATTATATGAAGTATACAGTATAAGTGCATATTTCAGTTTCATTGTCCTGGTGTTGTTCATGCTTGAGGTGCAAGTGAATGTCTGCTGAGAAAAGGCCCTATCATGTGAATCCTTTACAGGCAGAGGAGTGGGACCATGTGACCAAACAATTTTCTTAAAGGCACAGAACAGTCTGTAGTTTATGTCACGGACAATGAATATTTTAAATGTTCCTAGAATGTAGAATTAGTAATAAAGATGGATCACGGCAACAGTGCGTAAATGTATTCCTTAGACAAAACATAAAATCATGTCTTTATTAGCTGCTGTAAGGTGAGCAGTGATTAAATCAAAGCAGCCATTAAAGTCAGAGAGCTCTGTCAAGGAGCTACATGACCCGAGCTGTATTGTTGTGGACAATGCTGCCATTAAATATCAGTGTTGTTAATTCATATCTCATTTATTTTATTATTAAGCAACAAATCACAGTGAGAAAGAAAACAATGTTTGCAGGAATCAAACTTTGTGTAGTTGAAATGCTCTTCTTTTGTCTCATTCACACATGCATATATTAAGTTTCATAATTCACACTTTTCATTTCCAATTCCTATTCAGTTCATTTTTAGTCTGAAGCAATGCTGCTTGTAATAGAGGCGGCTGCTTGCCTGAGACGACTGTATGCACAAATGTACAGCATTTTTAAACCTGTGCTGAACATTTACAGATTCATGTTGTGATGTCTCTGTTTATCTGTTGGGATATACTGTATATATAGAAGTACATCAGGCTCTCTCACTGCAATCAATGCTTGACTACTCTGATTCATTTTAACAACCTCTGAGGACTACAGTTCACATAGTACGCAATAAAACACCTGGTGGTTTGAAAAGGGTTACAAACTTGAAAACAGGCCGAACCTTTTTTTTTTCTTGATACACCTGGATCATGACTCTGTCCCATTTTTAGAATGCTCATGTCAAAGTGGTAGAGAGGGCCCAGAAAGACAACATTTTGGCATGAAGCCAGGCAACCCGAAGAGCAGAGGTTCCTTCTCATGACCTCTGTGACCTGTTTTCATTGTACAATCACAAAATGTTCAACAACCCAAATCTCTCGTCTGCTCTCAGGCTTACACAACACAGCAACAGACCAGCTCTGATTTTCCACCTGGAGACACACACCAACATAAACAACACACAGTGAGCAGGTGTAAGCTGTGCATCAAGATGATGCTGAGAAAAAAGGAGAAAGAGACAAAATGGTTGTCATGGCAGCACTTTGGAATCACTTGGGAATCACACAAGAGAAGGGAGGTTATGTGCTTAATTGTAAATTACTTCAGATTAGTAACCAATCTACATAGTGAATTGGGCAGGATGTGATGCCCAACATAAGGAAGAGAGAACTACTGCAGTGTAGGTTCGTAAGCATGCAGGTGAACTGAACAGACTAAGCTATGAGTCACAGTCTCTATAGGTTCTATGTCTAATATTCATACAACAAATAACTGCACCAGCTTGCAGGCTTACAGTAGCAGCAATATTTGATACAGTCTGGCAACAACAGGCATGTCCATTGTCATGTAAATTGTAGGCTATAAGTTGTTTGTATGATTTATCTTGGCCATTTTTTTTTACATTTGTATAATTTATTAGTTAATTTGGGAGGTTGTTTTTCATCTGTAATCCCTGGGCATATGTCACAAAGTCACCCTTAAAACTGAACATAAGATTAAAATTATGAGGTCATTGAGATCATTTGCAAGCAGAGCAATAATAAAATGAAAAGAGAATCTTAATGTTCATAAAAAACAATCATACAGCACCATCATACACCATTATACTATTATTATTTATATGTATGTTAGAAAGAAAGAAATATGGGCTAAATATAATAGGAAAGGCCTGCATTATTAGATGCAGTGTATAAAATACATTTTCACATTTCACTTTGGCAAACTAAAAGCAAAGCCACAATACAATACTAGCATTCAAGTCCATGAGGACAGGATTGTGATAGGTGACAAGAGGGCAGGTTCACAGCACAGGCAGACTGAGGACAGCAGGTGTAATTGATTTTTGGTGCTGACAAAGCTGAGTGCTGATTAACCATTTCTTTAAATGAGCTCTAAATACACTGTATCTGTCCATCTCTGTAATAGATAGAGTTCCTTTCTAGTGCAGCTTTAACTGAGAACACAAACTGACTGGAAGCCCTTTTTTTCAGTGGAATAATGCTGTTGCTGCATCTCTTGTGTACTGCTATGCAGTTTATCTTACTTTGACAAACTTAACTTTGGAGAAGTCAAGCAATAATCTTGTACATGAGACACAAACATCTACATATTATTCCCCACTCAGAAAGTTATAGTTTTTATTATTGGGCAATGATGAAATTGTACAAATGTTTGTATGTTTGTACAAAGAGTGGACTGGTAGTGATATAGGAAATGACCATACATTGCTTATGCATCTTAGCTGCCTCTGTTGACATGTAAGATCAAATGAACCTGAAATTTGAAAGATTGAATCTGACCCACTTATGAACCTTTTTCACGTAAGTCTTGAAAGAAAAGTTAGAATCAGTCAGAACTCTCATGTATTTGCATTATGATAAAACTTATAGCCTCTCCCCGGATATAAACACATCTGGCTCTACACTAGAACTGTTGCTTGTGAAAAATATGAATACTGTTGTATAAAGATTGTTGCATCTTCAGCATTGCTTTAACCATGCTATTAGATCAACCAGATGAGTGTGTCAGCTCATTATCACCTTGTGTCATAGTTACTGTGTACATAAATTGTGTCATCTGCATACATTTGAATGTTGGTCAGGACATACGGATGGCAAATCTTTAAAATATAATGAAAATAGCAAAGGGCCCAGGATAGATCTTTGTGGGACACCTGTGAACGGATAGAAAGCAGCTTATTGATGATTCAGTACTTGGACTGAGAGATTTACCAGGTATGATTCTCTTCATTTAAGTG